ATATATATATATATATATATATATATATATATGTCATACTAGTAGGTTAGCAACATAGCTGTGAATTCAAAAATAAATAAAATTTATAACTTTGTACATCTATACAAAAGAAATAATACATATACAGAGGTTGAATACATTATATTAAAATGATTTTGGAGCTTCACCACATAGTTACAGTTGTTGTTGCTATGTTTAGTCATACTCTCTCTGGTGACCGTGCATCTTGATAATACCCCTGTAGCATAGTTTCTATTGCAAAAAACTTCATCATAATTCTGTTGTGTTAACCCTATGAGCCTGGGTTCAGTCCAGTGGATTGAGCCTGTTGACTATAATTCCAGAATTACTAAATGTATCTTCACAAAATGTAGCAAGCTTTTAGTAAGGTGTACAAGTCTGTTGTACACAAAAAATCAGATGTGTTAAAAAAGTATTTGTACTCAAGGTATGTCTGTCAGTTGATGGCATCAGTCTGACTCAGACTCTGAGAAGTCAGAGTGTGAGGTGATATTCTTATGAGGATTAAAAATAAGTTTTTGCATCGTGCAGTTTGCATGTTGCATTTGCATAACTTCTAGAACCTCTGTAATGCATATCTCCAGTTTTTTTCAGTATTCCTGTTTTTTGTATTTGGTATTTACTCTCCATTACAACGAAATGTATCTAAATCAGCAGCGTAGGATTTTCAAATACCCTACCCAAAAGCAAATAGTTTTTGATGCCATCATACTACCCACTAACACCGAACAATGCTGAAATGTTGTTCTTATACATGCCATTCCACCCTGATGAAGACACTTTGTAGTGTGTCATGTGGCCAGGAGTGATAGTTTAGCAATTTTTCACCTTCTGTATCTCAGACTGTGTTAATCCAAACTATCACATATTTTTGATGGATGTGCTCTACTGGACTCTTACTTCACATACCAAATTTCAAGGCAATCCATTAAGAAAGACCTGAGATATAACATCTCCAATTTTGATTTAGTTTCTTCCCCCCCTTTTTTTTTTTGCACCAGAAGTACATAAAATTTATTTGATAGAAAAACATACTTAACTGTTATG